GGCGGCTAATAAGACGGGCATCAGAAAGACGGACGGCAGCGCGTCATGCCGCACTTTCCAAGAAACAGGCTTAAGTGGCGAAACCAGGAACAGTCTGTTCCGGGCCTATACTACCCATGTACGACCTGGTATAGCCGGTTCAAATTCTAGCTCGCGGGAAGGACTTGCCCGGTCCTCTCTCTTCAGAACCGAGGGACCACTAATTTGTCTTCCTTGCCAGTCGCGCGGGAAGTACGGCGTAGCATCCATCGATCTAGATAGTACGGATGACGCATCCCGGGGGGCAGGTGCTGAGATGCAGCCGTCCTCTGGTGATAAGCAGAGGCATGTGGTTCGAGAAAAAAAAGTGACTCAAATTGTCTGGTACACTAGTAAATTGTCCGTAGGTCCAGGATTCAGACGACGGATCTTCAGGGACTGATCTATTGGAAAGTTGAGGGAAAATCGGGAGGGCATCAGGCCGAATCAACGGTCAAGGCGATCTGCCAGGTTCCCATGGGACAGGAGACAGGCAGCAAGATTGAGACCACGTCAACCATTACTGGTGGGATGAGAAAAAAAAGTAATCATACTGTGTGAAGGGCAGAGATCCACTCCGGGGTACGTTGAAGGTGAGGGAAATAATGATGGAAGGGCGAAGTAGAGACGGAGGTAAGATACATACTATACATACTATACATGACCGTACCGAGCGGTGACGGAAGAGGGGCACGGTGATTCGGGAGATGCCGTAATCTCCCCCCCCACGAGAACCACTCTCTCATTCCTCCATTCTGTCGCTGCTTTTTCTCTCTTCGACTTCGTCTGCATCGTCCCTTTGTTGCGTTCCCCCGTGCACATTGAGCCATTGCGGTAAGTCTTCATCCATTCTTTCGTTCCTTGCTGGGTTACCTGCAGCGCTCGGCCTTCCTCGTATTATCGACTCATCGAGATCGTTCCCATCACCCCCGGGTGTCTGCCTGACGCCGTGCCCTTTGCCCTAACCTCCGCGTCCAAGTCGTTAAAACTCTGCACGCACCTCTCACCTCCTGCCCTTCCCCCTCCCTCCCCCCGGACCCAGAAATTAAATCTCGCAACCTCTTTCAATTCTCGTTGGAGCTGTCATACAAGCTTGCTGATCAGTGGCTGGTCGCGTCAGATTTCTTCTTATTGGGAAAAAACCTTGTTTTTTTTCCCTCTCCCAATCTTTCACTCAATCTTTCCACGTCGCATTTTCTAGGCCTTTGGAATCCACCAGTTCCAAAGGCTCCAAGCTCACCACGGCTCTCGTAGCCTCGCGTTTCGTTCTTCGTCACATTGTATCTCCGAGACGTCCCCGCGACACTCTTAACAACATTCCCCCTCCTGCTGGTGTCGACTCCCGTGTTTCCGTTCGGTGCTCCTCCTTTTAACCTCCTGACGCCCACGCCGCTCATCCCCTCTTTTCTTGAGCTGCCGCATAGGACTTCTCTGAAGGTTCTTCCTCTCAAGGAGGAAGGGTCTAGGAGGCTTGGTCCAGTCAACTTCGGTTGCGAATCTTTTCGCCCTCCCTAACACGCAGTCGCGTTAAAGACACTCAACTTTTTTTTTATTACTTTACTTTTTTCAAAGACCTATTCCGTGCTCCGTCGCAGCGCGCATGGTTATGGCACCGACTGCTTGTGTACCTGCTGAAGTATGCACTCCTAAATACTACCAGGAGAAACAAGACCATAATCTCAATTGGGATCATGGTCAATTCAGCAATCATGGAGGGGACGATATATCGCAATCCAGGTTGGCTGCCAAGGAACTAGTCTTGGACATCCTGAAGAAGCGCGCAGCCGAGGTCAATGTGGACAGCTGCGCGCCGGGAGAGGAGGACGCTTTTTACGTGGCAGATATGGGGGAGATCTACCGCCAGCATCTGCGCTGGAAAATGAACTTGAGCCGTGTTCGGCCTTTCTACGGTAAGGATTGGGTGTCCCTCTGAGGGTTCGTGACAGCGGCTAACATTGAGTCAATAGCGGTCAAGTGCAACCCGGACCCGGAGATCCTTCGCCTCATGGCTAAACTCGGAAACGGTTTTGATTGTGCGTCCAAGGCGGAGATCGACATGGCCCTTGACACCGGCATCGACCCGAGCCGCATCATCTACGCGCAGCCCTGCAAGACCAAGTCCTATCTGCGCTACGCGGCCCAGGTGGGCGTCAAGCAGATGACTTTCGACAACGCCGATGAGCTGTACAAGATCAAGGCCAACTACCCGGACGCTGAGCTTTATCTGCGCATCCTCACGGATGATTCGAACAGTTTGTGCCAATTCAGCATGAAATTCGGAGCTTCCCTGGACGTTGCTCGCCAGCTCCTCGAATTGGCGCACCAGCTCGAGCTCAAGGTTGTCGGCGTGAGCTTTCACGTCGGATCGGGTGCTGAGGATCCTAAGGCTTTCCTGAAGGCCGTGCAGGACGCGCGCCTCGTGTTCGACCAAGCCGCAGAGATTGGCCACGAACTGCACACTTTGGATGTCGGCGGAGGGTTCTCTCAGGACACGTTCGAGAAATTTGCCGGCGTTCTGAGCGAGGCGTTGGACACCTACTTTCCGCCCAGCATCCGGGTCATTGCCGAACCGGGTCGCTACTATGTTGCCAATGCGTTCACTCTGGCAGCCAACATCATCGCTCGCCGTGAGGTGCGCGACCCGGAGGACCCAACCAACGACGCCTATATGCTGTATCTCAACGACGGGGTGTATGGAAACTTCTCCAACATCATCTTTGACCACCAGCACCCCGTGGCTCAGGTCCTGACCTGCGCATCGGCCGCGAACTCCCCTTATGCTGCGACTTCGGGGGGTGTCACGTACTCCATCTGGGGACCGACCTGCGACGGCATTGACGTTATCTCCAAGCGCATTGAGCTGCCAGCTCTGCTGGAAGTTGGAGATTGGCTTTACTTCGAGGAGATGGGAGCCTACACCAAGTGTAGCGCGACCCGCTTCAACGGCTTTTCGGACAACCACGAGGTGATTTACATCTCCAGCGAAGCCGGGGCTTCTGCGCTCCTCGAGTACTAGATCTACTATTGTTTGATATCTTTTTTTTGGCTTCTGTGTTTGGTACCTATATGTTGCTCTACTTAGTAGGTCGCTCGTTGACCTGCTTTGTTAATAAATGTGTTCGTGTGCTTTTAGAGTAGATTTCGGGTCGAAATTCAGTGTGCAGATTACTGAAGCGTCTATATATGGCCATCTAGCCTAGTCCATTTAAATGGGTTTCACCTATCTTCATTGCAGACAGAGTCATGTCTACCTCTAGTCTATCCTGGTCTCTATCGCCCTACACTGTCATCATAGATTCATGTATACATAGCCCAACCCCGCATTCCACAGGTCATCCGATGCAGAGCCAGCTCCTGCATCAGGCCCAATTCTAGATTTGGCAGAAAGCAACGACATGTCTAAAACATACCCATCTAGACCAGTCTCTCAACCACCAATTCCGCCCCCTCACTAATACTTCCCTCCGCGACCTGAACCAGGCCACCCGCCTCCAGCCTCTTCTTCCACTTGCCCGACTCATACCGGGCCAGAATGAAGGTAATTCTAGCCGCCACCGTAGGATCGGCCGTCTCGGCCACCATATCAGATGGCGTGAACGTCCAGCGCCCAAAGGCCCAGTTCAGGATATAGTGTCTTGCTGCCGGGCCATCCGCATCCACAGCCACCGATTGGCCCGCCTTCTGCTGCTCTTCCTCTTCCTCCGACGCAGCCGGCGGCGCAGCAGTCGAGCACCGCATGACGCCCTTGATCCGATACACCTCTTCCTTGTTCGCCGCGCGCAACAGCTTCTCCACCAATGCCTTGGTGTCCACCACAGCCCCGTCCTCCTTCGCCTTCAACGTAACCGACAGCACCTCCACCTCGGACTGATGTCCATGTTCATGCTTATGCCCCTCCCCATCTCCATGGCTATGTCCATGCCCATCCACCCCATCCACCCCCTCCTCCCCAAACAACGCCCCGTCAATCCCCAACAACACATCCTTATCCACCCGACCCTTCTCACTCTTCACCCACGGCGTCTCAACCTCCAAATCACCCACCCGATCCAAACAAATCTCAAACTTCATCTCCCCCGCCGCCTCCCACTTATTAAACACAATCAGATCTGTATACCGCGCCTGCAGTTTCGCCGTATAACTCGTATCCTCATACCCCTCCCAATTCTCCACATCAATCACGCTAATCACTCCATCCAAGCTGAATGTGCCCGGGTGTTCGCGCGCAAGCCGATTGACTTCCATTGCTAGGGTCGCGGGGAACGCGGACCCGGATGTCTCGATCACAATGCGGTCGGGCTTCACTTCGTCAAGGAGCTGGAAGAGCGCATCGCTGAGCTGACCGACGAGGTTGCAGCAGATGCAGCCGTTGAGGAGTTCGCGGACGCCGCTGATCGAGGAGGTGGACGCGAGTTGCGAGTCGATTGCTACATCGCCGAATTCGTTTTTGAGGAGTGCGAGGCGGTAGGTTGGGGGGAGTTGCGGGATGAGGTTTAGAAGGAGGGTCGTTTTGCCGCTGCCCAGGAAGCCGGTTAGGATTGTTATGGGGATGGGGGCCATTTTGTTTTGTGTTTTCGGTATATATGAGGGTGGTGATAGGGAGGGTAAGTCTAAGTCTAAGTCTATCAATAATATGTAAGGGAAAAGAAAGACGGAAAGAATGGTGTAGAGGTAGTGGGATTAAATGTTGAAGTTGAAGCCGGAGTAAAGATTCGGAGGGGGGTGGAGGGGCACGCTAGGACGAATCGGGTAATATATAAGATCTGGCGTGGGATTGTAGATGCCTCAGACATCCACGTGGGAGTCTCGTTGTAGAATCTACTATCTATTCATTAAAGGCCCTTAGCCGTATCCACTCCCTTGATAACATGTTGTGGCCTGACAAGACAGGCTAAAAACTACTCTAGTACTTAATCAACAACTGACTATTCCGGGAAGACCTTTTATACTTACCATTTTACTCCCTCAGCAGTATAGAAGAAATGCGCCGCTTCGAAAGGATCTACGATGTCGTAGAGCCTGTTGAAGAATATCGTCAAGGATGATATCACCCCGTTCATCTCCACGATGTGTTCCATCAAAGATATAAAGTCATAGGGAAGCTAGCTTATGGCCAATACTCGACGGTTTGGCTAGCGAGAGATCAACTAAAGTTAGCGCTACTCTACAGCAAAGCACATATGCTGATAATAGATGGGAAGAAACTGTTGCTAAAATCTAAACAGAGACTCACAGCAAGTTGTACTGAAAATACTCAAAGCAGAAGCATCCCAAGACAACAACAGGGAGCTTTCTATCCTCCTTGCGCTTTCAGATTCCAATATAGATCATCCTGGAAAGAAGAATGTAATTGAACTACTCGACCATTTCTATCATACAGGTCCGAATGGAACTCACATGTGTCTTGTTTTGCCCATGATGATTTCCGACGGGGCAGCAATGACAATCATTGGAAGTCCGCGTGAAATCGGCTATATTAGGGCTGTTTCTCGTCATCTTTCAATGGGACTTGACTTTCTACATCAGTCAGGTATTGTACACTGTGGTATGTCAATGCATCAGGTTATGTATGCAGATTCCTAAATGAGCTTAATGCAGATCTTCAACCGGCGAATATCTTGTTCTCAGTTGCTGGGGGTACAGACATGGAGGCGTTGTTACAACCTCCTGAGTTCAATCCCGTTAAGTGGTTGGAAGGAGTTACTGTAGACGACAGCGCTCCTGAGTATTTGGTGCCTAGCCAAAGGCGAAGAGGCCAGTTGAGTGATGCACATTTCTCAACATTGGAGGTCAGGATTGGGGATTTTGGCGGAGGTAAGATACACATGTCTGTATCGAATCTTGTCTGGACAGCTTCACTGAGGCTTACACTAGCTCAATATGTTCAACGCTGTGATGAAAAACCAGTGACACCCTTGGGCTTGCGCGCACCTGAGCTGATTAGACATACCCGGGATACTTCCATTGATACTTCACTGGATATCTGGGCATTGGGATGTTTGGTATGTCGACGCCAATCCCTCTCTTGAAATATACGTTCCTTCTGATATTAGTAAAGATATTCGAAATAGTAACGAATGAGCCACTGTTTCCTCTGGACACGTTCGGCATCACACGAGAGGAGATGGACAACGACCACTGTACTCATATTGAGAAACGACTCGGTTCGAACAACCAGAACGTAGACTTTGCAAAATACCTACGCGAACGGTTACCCAAGAATTTTGGTGCCGAGAATGCGGAGAGCCTCGCCTCGTTCCTTCTACTTATGTTGCAGATAGACCCCCGCGAACGTTTATCTGCAAAAGAGCTACTTCGGACTTCTTTCATGTTGGATAGATATTGAAGGATCTTCTGTTACTGTGTGTATTTACAGTATGAACGGTATTATGAAGTTTTATTTTTTGTGAAAAAGCATCAACATATGAACCGGTATTTATCTTTCATTGTATAAGCTCCACTCGAATATTATTATGTAAGTATTATTTTTAGCAGAAATCTAAGGCTCTATTTTCATTCTTAAGATGAAGTTAAGTCATTTACCAGGGGATATATTTTGATCTCATCGCAGTCAAGAGTATAAAACTCAGTAGCTGTAATAATTACACACTCCTAGCCTACTCACCACACGGCCCTACTATTATCAAGCCACCAAACAAGAAAAACGACACACATCCTTCGAAACACGCTATCTTTAACTCCAACCACCCTATAAGGCTGAACCATTCCTACTGCCCCTAGATACCCTCCCCGAGTCCCCCCAACCAAGGCCGCCCGCCAGCGCCAACCTGCCACACCCGAAAGCCCCGAGGATCCACAAGGCTGACAACGATGATATCATGATCCACCCGAACTAACTTGATGTCATCGGCCACATAAGATAAACTACTTAACTAAATCCTCCAATCAATCATTCATTTCAGCAAGATAATACCACTTCTACTAAACATAAAACCTCTCTTTCCATATATTATTTTCTCTATAGGACATCTCCCTTTCTCTACCTAATAAAACATATACTCATAGTATCACAATGAAAACCGTTGACGACACCGCCCGCGAAACCGCCCAAGAAATGGGCTACAAAGAGCCCGCGTCCACGACCGACAGCTCGAACGGGAACTCGATGATGACCCCCCAGAACTCACTGAATGATATGGCGCAATCGGGTGTCAAGGAGATGAAGAATATGTTTGATGGAGTGGCGTCGGCGCCGGCGCCGGGGGATTTCTTGAATAGTACGTGGGAACATGTAAGGTCGTTGATGGGTGGGGGTGGTGGTGATGGGGAGGACAATGGGAATGGGGAAGGTATGTGCTCGGTATTTTGTTTTATTTGTATGTGTGTTTGGTTTACTGTTATGCTGATTGAATATCTTGGCTAGGTGTAGATGGTGTCGTTGAGCCGGCGGATGCGGATGAGATTCGGTGTATTGAGAATTTGGAGAGGGAGAAGATTATTCAGTTTTTGCAGGAGAGGCATATGAGTATGAATAATATGGGGAGGGGGAAGAAGGTATAACCGGGGGAGTGCTAGATTCGGGTCGGATGGATAAAATAATATGTGATGTTGGGACATTCATGCATACGTGAAGCTTGCTTCTGATCAAAGTGAATTCTGTAGCTGTCAAAGTAGTACTCTTACGCTCACAAACAAGCTTTGAACCCCTTGTCCGACTTGATATCCAGCCCCAAGAATTCCGCAACCTGTCCTAGATGGTCCACTCCCCAGAACGTGTCAGTTTCACCTTTGTCGTTGGTGCACTCAAACCAGGGGATGCCAAATGCGCCTGATTTGAACGCTCGATCAGTGTTAGCTATCAGGGCTGCCTTGATGTCTCCATGATCCATCTAAACACCGAGTTAGCAAACACACTCAACATAAGGTTATGCAATACAGGTCACATACATCGGCCAACACCGACTGTGCCACGTCCTTTCCGAGTACCCCTTCGAGAACCGGACCGAAGCATTCAGGCTTCGCAATGTTCGCATTACCCTCTACCCAGAATAAGTGATAGAGCGCCTCGAAGGCTGGCACAAGCTTGTCCGGGTGCTTCTGGGAAATCGCACAGAGCGCACGCTGCGTACTCAGCGTCCGTGGCGGGAAGCCTTCGGGGGTTATCTGGACAATTGGGACGTTGAAGTAGCGAGCCCAGCGACAACGCTCTTTTTCAATCCATTTATCCTTATCTATATACATTGATTAGAAGTTGTCATGGACATATTCTAGTTGTTGAAGGGGCACGCACTCTTGATCTTGATAGGGGCAGTATTTCCGCATGCTTGCATGATACCACCCAGGAAAATAGGAATATACGTGATGTTACATTTGGCAAAAACGGCAGAGTTCTTCTAGACGTTAGAATATTGCGGTGATGATTTGAGCTCTAGTAAGTAGATGGATATGCGCACCTTTAGAACACTGAAGGCGATATAGCCGAATGGACTGACTACATCCAAGTAGACGTTTATACGCGGCACAGCCATGGTTTCGAAACCGACGAAGATGATGAAAGAAAGCTAAATGTGATGTGATCCAAAAACCAAAGATGAAGGTATCACGCAGAGTGTCTAGTTTGTCTAGTTAAGGCCGTAGACCCCCCTGTTCTGGATGAGTCAGCATCGCGAGCCGAGGTGTTCGGATGTTCATCTCTTGATTTCTAATCCCTGATTCCCCTCACTCTACTAAGTCTACCCGGAGTAGACAAGATCTTTGATGCACTTTTGTATATGCTTGGAATTGGGGCACTGTTGCCGTGTTCTGCTCAGATAAGGCCATACGTGCCTTCCTTGTCAGTAGTCCTCCTAAAGGGCAGTCGCGATGCGGCCACCTGTAGTTAGGATGTTTCGGCAGATCATCCAGCTCGTAGCATTGACTCTCTGTATCTGGCTACGTAGTGCTTGCTTGCATACTTACAAGATAGATGGCTATGTACAACATGCTTAGCGTCGACTCCCTTCTCAGCAGGGATCGACTCAAAGATGAAGGAAACGCCTTTCTAGTACCCTTCTCAGTTAATGACACTTCAGAAGAATCCGCCTATGAGTTTGATGCGCCTGATGCAGAGTATATCCATGACTCAGTGACTGAAAAGCGCCGCCATGCCGTATACTATCACCGGCCTCCCGTCTGGTGCCCTTCACAGCAGTCAAGAACATCGTGTTTCTCTGGAAGCACCAGCAGCTGGGGTACAAAGGAAACGTGCAGTGACCAAGCAGCTGATGATAGCGAGATGCCGGATGATGCATATTCCTGCATCGCTGATGGCTGTGACGCTACCGCTGCATTGGGAGATGGGATATCTGGCACAGAAACCAACCAGTCGCAGTCTGATCAGGAGACCATCATCCTTGTGAGTGTCTGGTGGCTACCAAATAGACCGTGAGTGTATAGGCTAACTGTATCAAGCATGACTGGCCCGCTCGTGACAGGCCACAGACATGGCAACAATTGGGTACCGTGAGGAAATACACTCTGTCAGATTGGCGAGCCTCTGTGAAGCCTTATCCGAGCCGGGTGCTATTGCAGAGCTCCGTCTGTCACAAAGGGAAAGGCAGTCCTGCACGATTGCAAGCATACAAGGACATACGTTTAGGGTTAGATGAGAAGCAGTCCATCCACGAAGGATCCCTTGTGATTTGTGTTGATCCTGCATATACCTTGTCCGATCATGATAAACCACGCTCTGATGAGTTCGATCTGGTTAGCGGACATATATTTGTTGTCTGCCGTCTGTATTCCGATTTATGGGCTCTCTGTGCCAGTGCTTCGCCGCCTCAGCCGGAGAAAGTCTCCGGTGAGGAAATATCGACTGAGCCTATGCGACTAGCATTCTTGCCACTCTGCGCAGTGACGCTAGCTGCAAATTTTAGCGCATTCAATCAGAGATGCATCAATTATGCTCATGATAAGTCAGACGAGCCTAGATTTCCTGGAAATGGGCTGCCAGTTATGCCTCCTCCACGGACTTCTAGCCTCAGCGATGGCAAGCAGATCTCCCGCGGAAACAGACGCTGCATCGCCTTTCCAGAGGTGGTCTACGATACTTTCAACCGCGTCCCTTTCGAACGTCGCGATACAGAATTTGTCCCAGCAGACTCTTCTCTAGAGAATGTGCTTTCTAACCTGACCGACCGAGGAAGTCGTCGACTCCAGCGCTTAGGCAACCGTATGTCAATCCGGAAGCTCTGGAGCGAATCTAAAAGACCTGCTCTGGGAAACACCGAGAATCAAATTTCCCCTCCATCTGGTTACCTTGGAGAACCGACAAAGTTGGGTGCAATGCAGCATCGTTCAGGCCTGCAGCGGCGCGGTACTTTGAGAAGCCAGAGGCTGAGTTTTATCCGGGCTGCCCGATAATATGAGACAAGGTCCTTCGTTGATTGGTCTGAATCATATTTTATCAGCGCCTATTTGACCGCCCATCGCCCTTCCTATCAAGGTATTATTGAGGTAGCAGTAGCTCGAAAATAATGTTGTTACTCCGTATTGGCCGATAAGATGCGGGGATTCCTGCAATATAAGCAAGGGCGCTTTCCTGCTGCATGCCGGTAGTAGTCGAAATCGGCATGAGAGCTAGTGCTCTGATCATCCTTGATCATGTGTGTTATTCTGTTGGGCTCGATCCTTCTTGCAATTGCTCACTTCAGTAGCATAACAAGTAGCGAAAGAATATATAAATGCATTAAGAAACTTCTGGTGTTTATCAACTCGAGACACCCATTATCCCCAACTATGCCACCATTCCGAGCGAATCTCTACACCACCTTCGCCCTCACAACTCTTCTCATTCGTCTTCTCGGCACCCTCATCTACTATCTCCCCCGCTTCACGCGGCCCCATGAAGCATGGACCTACCGCCAAGTCATCGGCGTAAGGCTCTACTCCCTAGGGTTGAACTACCTAACAGCAGTTGAATACCGCGCCCCCAAAACCCTTACCCCAGGCCGTGAAGGCGACCGCTTCATAGTCATCAGCCCGCTAGACACCGCCATGTCCAACCAACTAGCACTCCATTACTCCCGCAGCAGCATCCTCACCAGCGTCCCGTTCATCCGTCCCGTCCCCATCGGCGCAGTATGGCACCCTGCCCTCCCCTCTTCCAAACCAGCTCGAGTAATCCTTCACTTCCACGGCGGTGCGTATGTTGTCGGCGGTGTCCGCCTCAACATAAACAGCTGGAGCCCTAGTATACTCAGCGAGGTGATGAAATCTCACGACATACTGCCGCAGTATCGCCTTGCCATGGAAGAAACTGCCTCGTTCCCTGCTGCCCTGCAAGATGGAATCACGGCTTATGTGTATCTTCTCGAGAAGCTGGGTTTAGAGCCTCAGAATATAACCCTGTCCGGTGATTCGGCGGTTGGGAATCTTGTCCTCTCCATGATTAGATACTTGGCTGAGGAGAAGGAAAAAGGAACGGGGGTATTACCGCTACCTGCGGCTGCGTTGTTATGGAGTCCGTGGTTGGATTTAACAGAGAATGGAGCGCGGAAGGTTGATCGGCATCCGCGTCGATGGGTTGATTATCTTTCTGGGACTTTGCTGGATTGGGGTATCAGGCGGGTAACGCCTGAGGGTTGGAAGAGGGGGCATAGGTTTCTGAGTCCCCTTGGGAATGGATTTAGGACTTTGGGAATGCCGATTTTCCTGCAGGCGGGGACGGAGGAGGTTTTCTTTGAAGATCAGGTGGCGTTTGTGGAGGAGATGAGGGCGTTGGGGAATGATATTGAGATTTGTGAGGTGAAGGATGCACCGCATGATATTTTTGGGGCAGGGAATGTGTTGGGATTCGAGAAGGAGGCGGAGGAGGCGATGGAGAGGGCCAGGACATATGTGAACAAGAGAGTGGGCTGGTTTGGTTGAGTCGATGCTGTAGAGATGGTATGTACATGAATTTGTGCTTTAAGTTATCCCCCGGGCTGAAACTGGCTATTGGATGCCGCTGAACGGTGATTTATGGGTATAGCGGGTTGCTCCATTCTCATATGGTCACAGATCCTTCTGCTCTAATTGCTGCAGAGGGGTTGTAAGAATATGGCCCCCGGAAGAACGTGAGAACCTGGACCTTGAACTCTCATTATACCGGCGTGTGGAGTGCTAGATGCCACCAGGGAACTGTATTTCTAGGCCATCAGGTGGCGGGTGCAAGAGCTGCAGCCCTACACGACCAACCGTTGTACCTTAGCTCTCTGCACCAGAGCAGGACAGTCGAAGAGACAAAGTCCCGAGAAGCCGGGGCTATGAAAGAGCATGATGAACGAAGCTCTGCGCTTAGTTATCGCTGCCAGTCCCGGAAGGAGCCGTGCAGCTGTGGTCTGTTGCCTTTGCAGTAAATGCTAACCTTGAATATGGGGGAATAGTGCGCCACTGACTGTTCAAAACTTATTTAGTTTTGGAAAAATGTCAATCCACGCATTTAATCCAGCTATTGACTTGATGAAACACTCCTTTCTCTGCCGTAACAACGCAATTCAATATCATCAGTTTGACCATGTTGCGATGGGAGCTGCTTCCGATCTAGGTGCAAATTGTGGAGCCCAGCAGACTGCATCAGGTCGAAGAAGATAGACTCGCTTTCATGACGTCTCTTCAACGCCACCAAGATGACAGCCTCAGGCGACATTTGCACTAAACGGCTC